ATGGGGGCGGAGTTCTTGGAACAGCTTCGTATACGACATGGTGATGTATACGAACTCTTGGAGGAGGTAGTGGTGGTGATACAACGACCTCAGGTCTGAGGGGACCACCTTGTTGTTCACCACCGGGAACTTCAATGGTTTCTGATGTCCCATCTGTGACTGGTTGGTCTTGAGCAGCGGCTTTGTTGCCTGAAAACGATATGCGATTAGAGGACGTCTACTTCGATTTCCCAAAAACCCGCGACAGGCATAGGGCTCGATTCAAGCCGTGCTCACCCCGAAACAGTCGTCCAATTGAACGAATTATTGAGTGAGCGTTTCTACGTCTTGAACGATCGCTGTGGTCCTGAAGAGAGTGTTTCAAAAAGGTACTGTAAGAGAGTGCGGTATTCGGTCCCTCTATTACTGGCCAGCCGAGTAAAAACTAATAAACTTATAATCAGGAGCACCACAAAAGGACTCACGTCTGCCTGGACATGTACACCTAAAGGTAATGATAATGAAGTCTTCAAGAGGAAGTGTGGTGTTCCAACGCCCAATCGATAGTAATCAGTCCTTGGGCCAAGAATAAGGTACGACCTCATTCTGAGATGTAAACAGGTGTGTATCATAGCAAAATCCTTTACCAGGACTGCAAAAGTCAACGAAAATTCACACCGACTACAAGTTAGATCCTTTGAGCGTTAAAACAGCATGGGAGAGAGAGAACTGAATAGGTTCCAAAACGTACCTTTATTGTACTTAGAACCTAAAAAAGGAATTAGAGCACTCTGCACAGTGTACAACAAAAAGCAAAGAATGGAAAGAAGCGACGTTCAGGCGTAACAACCGGCTACACCTATTTCTCTTCAAGGTTTTCATATTTTCTGAGTTTTTCAGTAGTCTATTTAAGAGAGAAAAAAAGACTGCTCGATCAAATCATATTTTCGTTGATGGAAACGCTTTCTATCATTGTGAGAGCAGAACCGCATCCTACTCACAACGTGAGACCACCTTCATCTTTTCGAATGGGTTATTGTGTATTCAGAATTGCTATGAATGCTATCATTCAACACCCTCTCATTCAATCATCATTGATAAATTACAGTCATCGTCATTAAGGAATATTGCATGAAACTTCAAACTTCAGACATGAAGTTAGCAGAACATGCTGACCAACAATGACCGGCTTCAATTAGGATACTCTCCAGTAGGCTCCTTAGCAAGAACATGTTGACTAGCTATGATTCGACGCGCTGAAAGGAACTTTCCCAAACGCAGGTTTAAATGCGATGAACCAAACTGGAAGTACCCTCACTGAAACCCACCACAGCACACCAAAAAAGGTGACTCAAAACTTGGTAATGACCATGAAAAAGTGCATAACTCACGAGGTGACACACACGTGAGAAGAGCGCTCGTGAACGTCGCCAAGGCCATTGGTGGAATCAGTTCGAGGCGTCCTGAATCAGAAGAGAAAGATACACGGGAATCTCATACATACCGGATTCCCATGACAGACTACATAATCCCTAAAACCCACCTGACCACATTACGGCCTCAACGAAATTGGACTCACCCGTCAGTTCAACCATCCACCTCGTAGTTCAGTGAACGAATGTAACATAATCTACTGATACCAAGAACTTTTTGGTGACCACACGATTATCATGCACATTTCTGTCAGTAAAAATGCCATTCTAAAAGATGATCGTGCTCAGTCAAATGAGGTCAGAAAAATAGGCACGCACAAACGAGCGCTTCATCATGGCAACTCCACGAATCTATTATGAAGACTTTATACTTTGAAACATATAATAAATAGCAACATCGGATACATCTTACAAAATGTACACAAGCCCTCATATCCTGAGTCCCAAATCCCAACAGTGCACACTACGGCTGAGCGAACACGCGTTGCTTACGTGTGAGAAAACTCGTCCATCTGTCCTACCGACCAGCCAGCTTTGGTTTCATTAATAAAAGAGTTCAATGCTTATTAGTACAAACAGAAAGTGCTCATCGAGGGGTCATCAAGTACTGAGTTGTCACATATACTAACCCAAGCGATACTCACACGCCCCTCGCCCAACAGCAGACGGACTTAGCAAAGCTTGGATGGAAATGGTGGTAGGCGCACTGGTCAAATCCATATTTCCCCGTTAGAAAACCCGTATTTCATTGGAGGAAACCATGTTGTGGTTAATCGGTTATTTCCACAACTGAGGAATCGCTTGATGAAGACGAGGATGACGATCGATGTTTCCGTCGAGATTTCTTGCTCTTCTTCTCTTTCTTTGATTTTTTTGACGACTTCTCTTTCTTGGACTTCTGAAAAAATGTAATTACCGTAATCCTAAGTAAGCATTTAGTTTTCCCGTATCAATTCACTCACCTTTGTCTTGTGTTTCTTGTGACTGTGACTCTTTTTCGACTCTCGCCGTTTTGCTAGCTCATCTTTCAAATATGTCAACACGGAGAATCCGCTGATGGCTGAAAGCTCAGAACTTCGTGGAACATTCAATTTTGAGCAGAAAAGAAGGAAGTCTACCGTTGAGCAGTCAGGTGCATGGGTAATTTATTGACAAGCCAAGCCTCTCAAGATCCTTCAATAACTCACTTTCACCAATGCTTGTCGGTGGAGCCGGTCCAAATTCCTCTTCCTCTTCCACAATGTCCATCACTGTGATCGGCTTCGGTTTTGGCTCCTCGTTTGTTGCCTCTTTTTGCTCTTCTAACTTCCCTTTCTCCATCTCTTTTTGTTCTTTCGGTTCTTCCTTTTCCTCCTTTTTCTGTTCTTCCTCCTCTTCTTCATCACTATCGCTTTCACTTTCACTTTCGCCGAAAATCGCATCGAATATTGATTTCGGTGGCCGATCTATGTCGATATCTTTTGGCTCCTTGGCTTCTTTCTCCGCCTCTTCTTCACGATGGTACTCCTCTCGGGCTTTCCTTAACCAAACACATTATCGCAAAGACCGTGAAGGATCTCTAAACGCTTTCTAATGTAGCAATAATGTTTAAACAAACAGCTGCCGCTACGCAGCCGAGTCGACAGAATATTTAGTAAAGTCTGCGTTGTGCTGTCGCCTTTCTGCTCATACACACCTGCTTTAAAGTCAAATAACTGCTCACCTTTGTGCGAGATCATTAGCAGTTTGTGGTAATCCTAAGTTCAGCAACGTCTCTTTCTTCGAGGTCTTCTGCAAGTGGGGTACTCCCACGATCTCAGCTCCAGGATACGGATTAGGAATATTGAATCGCTTTGCCAGCGAGTTGTGGGGATACCTAGAACAAGTTGAACGATTCCTGAATACGACAGCTTGCAATGGCGACATCTCCACAGAATATGAAGCACTCCACAGACTATATATTTTCTGAATTCCCACGGACGAAAGAAATTCACACCATGCAAAAGATAGACATTAAGTCATTGCTCACCACTGAAATGTCGTCCTCGTTCGTTCTCCAAACATTCCCATTTTGACAGCTGCCATTTTATCACTATCATGCGTGGCTGCCTAGAAAACGGAGCATAACTTCACAAAAATTACTACTCCTAATCATTCCTTTGATGAGAAAACCTGAAAAAAATAAACAACGCTGAGGTAGAAGTACCACATAGTATGTAAAACCCACATGGCCTGATTGTCCGGTTTCTTTGGCAAATTTGTTCTGCATCATTTCCTGGATAGGAAGGGCGAGGCTCGTCTTCGCAAGCGGTTTCATTCTTGCTCTGACCTAACATCGAGAAATATATGTAAAGAAGAATTAATTGGCATGAAGGGCGACTTTGTAAAATGAGAAAAAATGTTCTCCACCCCCGGTCAATTACGATATGCACTACCAGGTATGAGATTAGCTATTAGGTTGTAAAGAAAGTTCTGGCCGTTTCGTCAGCTATTTTTCAAAAAGTTATGACTCATTTCAAAGTGAATATTTTTATTCATAGTGAGCCCCATTCGATTGTACACTTGTTCGCCAACGTGTTACAAGTCCGTTTGTCTCATTCTTATAAATTCCGGAGATCTGGATTCCATGAACTCAAGAAAGGCAGCTTCCACGTCGCCTTGATTTTTGAGTTTTCGTTCCTTTAAGAAGCTGTCCAGATGTTTGAATAAATGG